TGGATAGCATCTTCCATCGTGAGTCTTTCGGACTTGTTGCTGAGAACTAAGTCAATCACAGGTGATTATCACACAATGTTGCTGGTACTGTGTACAATGTTCTCCTGGTCCTACTCACTTTATTTTGCATCTGTGCATGTGTAGAATTCAAGTTCTTCTGGTCAGTCCTCTCTTTTGCTTCTGGTGCAGCAGTGATAATGCCTTGACTCAGCATTAATTTAAAGGTATGATGAAAAAAAGACAATGGCATATCACTCTCAACTATCAATAATATGGAAATATTGACATGGCTCTGTCCTTGACTCTATTCCCAACCCACATTTGGGAGATTTTTTTCAGACCAATCAGACTACCGTTCTATAAACAGTCCACCCTAATGGCCATAATAGAGATAACAGGAAAATGGCCTCAGGTCATTTCCCAAAAGAGAAAACATCCTCCTGCTGTCCTTTCTTCTTTCCCTGCTGGTAAAAGGGGCAGAAATTTGCCAGGGACTCCTTTTCAGGGGTCAAGGGCCTCAATCAACTTGATCAAGGAAACAGTGTAGGAGTAGACAGTTTGTCCTCCCTCCATCTTACCAGCTGCTACAACTTTCAGAAGCTGTTGGTCCAGGCGGCTAGGAATTCATCTCTAATTCAGACCTGATTCATTCTGCTTAATAACAACTCTCCATAGTACTGGTAAGCAGCTTGAGTCTTTGCCCTGTATCTGTTACTATGTTGTTCCTGTCAAAGCAAGAGCAAGTAGAGGCTCAAGCCCTGGCTACAATAGCGGTTATCCTTGAAAAATGTCTATCTGAGCACAGACTCCAATTGCTCTTTGTGGCTAGCATGACCAAACGGGACATGCCTCTCAGCCTCTTCTCTCCCTTCCACCACTGAAAGTAGCAGAAGAAAACCCTTTTAAAGGCAAAGAAAATAAAATGTGGGATTTTCAGAACTTATAAAGCATTACCTTGTCCAAATAATTCACCAATTTCATCTCCTTCCCATCACTTCCTCAAAGGTGAGAGGGTCATATTAGCAATATTTACTTTTGTGATTGGGTGAGCATTGGTACACTTTTCTAACATTAAGGAAACCACTGTTGGGGACCATAGGGGCTGGAGTACTGTACTGCAGCACTGGATCACTTTATGATTGGAATCAAACCCCAAAACTCCTATATGGTTGACTGGAACCAGGAAGGGCAACCCTGAGCAGATCCCATGGGACTGCACTTTTACACTTCCAAATACATATGACATCCCCTTGTAGGGTACCCTGAAAAACAGCTTTGTGTTTTATGTTTTGTACTTGGAAGGAGATATTAGTTGATAATAACTAATTAAGTTAACTATAATTAACTTGACTACTTGAGTAGTGACACTTCAAGAAAGGACCTCCAGGAGGCAGTCAAGAAAGATAGGAACAGAGAAAGAGACAAACAGAGACAGACAAAGACAGCAAGAGGGATAAATAATCATGGGGAGAGAGAGAGAGAGAGAGAGAGAGAGAGAGAGAGAGAGAGAGAGAGAGAGAGAGAGAGAGAGAGAGAGTTGGTTTTCAATGATGTGAACTTTTAAATGTCAGACTAGAGCACTTGGAGCATAGACTTGTATGGAAAGCTGGACTAATTCATGTTCCTTGACCTCCAGAGCTTACAACTCTAGAGGCTGCTATGACTGAGCTTGCCTATGATGAGACTGCTCCTTCTCTCTCAATCTGAGCTTTTTGCTCTTAGTTCATTTGAACTCATATATTCTTTGGTATATTCCAGGAGTGGGGAACTTGTAACCTCAAGGCTATATATGATTCTCTAGGTCCTCAAGTGGGGCCCTTTGACTGAATCCAAACTTTACAGAACAGCAGCTAGGTGGTGCAGTGGATAGAGCTCCAGCCTTGGTGTCAGGAGGATCTGAGTTCAAATCTGACCTCAGACATTTGATACTTACTAGCTGTGTGATCCTGGGCAAGTCACTTAACCCTGATTGCCTAAGTAAAAATAAATAAATAAATAAAAATGATTTGTTCTATAAAACTTGGATTCAGTCAAAAGGCTGTACCCAAGGACCTAGAAGGCCATATGTGGCTTTGAGGCTGCAGGTTTCCCACCTCTGTAATCTATCCTGTAGAACTTTTCTGATTTCTGTTTGCTATTTTGCTTAGATAAATGGTTTACTTGCTATTCACTATTTGTGATGATCTTTCATGTAATCAGCATCTTGTGAGAAGTAGCTGAGCTTTAAGAGTGATTAGCTTTCCTTCTGATACTCTAAAATTATACTACTAGACTAGAGATATTTGAGAGTTGGCAGATAGATGTAACTCTAGCCCAGTATCCTTTTTGGGTATTAGAAGAAAGAGTGCCCATCCTGGGCTGTTCTGGATCCTGTCTCCCTCTCCCTCCTACCTATAGTACTGGCAGTACAATCAAGGCATGCCTCTTGCTTTCCACAGATAGGCCAGATCTCAGATTGAATCTATGCATGCCACCATCAAATCCCTGTTTTTATATTGACAGTTTTCCACACCCCACATATATATTACGTGCAGATATACTTAATTTTGTTAGCTAAAATACCTCTATGATGCAGTCTTAACCTGCATATCAAGAAGGATTTATGTACACAAAAACTCTACTTCACTATATTCCTGTTGTCCCATTCTAATTAGTACTCAGGGTAGTGCTATAGACCAGGCATGTGTATTAGTGTATATGCATATTAAATTGATTGGTGTGAGTTTGCAAATGAACCAGAGGGTATAAGCTATATGCTGCTAGGTCCCAAATAGTGCGAGTTCAAATAACCTATTTCTACCAGGTTGAAATCATTATTATAACTTTGAATAACATCTATCTGCCATCCCTCAAATATCTCTAGTCTAGGAGTACTATTTTAGGGCATCAGAAGGAAAGCTGACCACTCTCAATGCTCAGTTCCTTCTCACAAAATGCTAGTTACTTAATAACATAATTATAACTTTGAATAGTATGAATTTGAATACATGTGATCATTTTAGGGAATTATTTGTTCACACTAATCGGGACCTAGTTTTACAGATATAATTATTCTAATAGAAAAGGTGATCCAGTTATTTATGGGAACAATAGGAAGTCATGGTAGCTAGAAAATCTGGGGGTGGGAAGAGTGGGACTGCAGAGTATGTGACAAGGAGAATCATCAAATAAGACTGGAAAGGTAGATTAGGGCCTTTGAATGCTAAGGGGCATCATTCAGCTGGCAAAAGGGAACTATTAACTGATTTTAAGCAGAGGTGAGATATGACCATCCATAGATAAGGAAGATTAGTCTGGGAATATGAAGAATGGATGGAAGGAAGAGAATGGGGAGATAAGAAGAATAGTTAGGAGGCAGTGGTAATAGTTCAGGCAGTTGGAAATAAGGGCCTGTACCAGAATGGTGTCAGGGAGAATAGAGGGGCTGGACATGAGAGATTACAGAGAAAGAATCAGTCAGACTTGGTAACATTGTAAACAAAATGGAGAGCGGGGGAAGAAGCAAAGACAACCTCAATATTTCCAAAATGCAAGACGGGGTGAGTGGTAGCCCCTGATCAATATGGTGAAGTCAGAAGAGAAGCAAGTTTTGGGATAATAGAGTAAACCCAGTTTGGGAGTTAGAATTTGTTATTTGTTGGGTTAGAATCCATAACTTCCTTCACGAGTCAATAGGCAATATCCCATAGGAAGTCTTTTCTGATTCCTCCAATTAGTGGCGTTCATCCTGTACCAAACATTTGTAGAGCACTTATCACGTAGTAGGCACCTCATAAATGCTTGCTTCTCCTGCTACACACCCACACATTAAAAACCCATACATGCACACCCACTTCACTTTGTATTTACTCTGTATATGCCTTTGGTTTTTCCCCTTCCCACTCTCATGTACAATGTTACCAACTCTGACTGATTCTAGACCCTCTGTTCCCACTGACATTGTCCTAGTACAGGCTCCCTTATGTTTACTTATCCGTGTAAAGGAGATAAAAGGTTTGTACCTCTTTGCTTCTCTAGGAGGTGTGAAGAAGCATCTCAAGTTAACTTAATGGAATTATAGGAAAGCTAGCTATTGGGCTGAAGAATCAACAATGCCTCAGGTGGTATTTTTATTTTACTTTTTTTTTGTAAATTTTTAAATTTATTCTAAACTTAAACACAAAATGAGAAAAAAAATTGCCTTGTTCACAGCAGAGCATAAGAGAAACAGAACAATAAATTTCCATTTCAAGAAAACTTATATAATAAATACTACACATTGTTTTCAAAGCTGCCCAGCTTTTCTTTGCTTCCTTGTAGGTTTTCTTTTGTTCTCTGCTGTGCACTTTTTACTTTATTTTCTTCCCCTCCCTCTGCTTCCCCACCCTAAAGAAGACTACAATTAAGTATGGAGATATGTATATATATATACACACACACACATATATACAGATGTCTATAAACATACACATATATGTAAGACCATAATATGCTTATTTCTACTTGTCATCTATTTCTCTGAAGATGGATAACATCTTCCTTCATAAGCCCAAGTCTTTCCATGTTTTTCTGAGTCAGTCAGCTCATTGTTTACTATATCACAGCAATATTCCAACCCAATCCCTTCAAAGAAACCATGAAAAAGAGATGTAAAGGATTCAGCGGTATCAGACCTTAAACTGTATGAGAGCATTGTTGAAGTATAAAATGGATAATTTCAATTATTTTAAATTAAAATGTTCTTGTATAAATAAAACCTATGTAGCCAAGAAAAGAAGAAATGCAGAAAATTGGGGGAACACCATCATAGATAATATCTCAGGTAGGCTGGTGGTCTTTAAAACGGCAAGTTTGCCAGCTCTGAAATCAGGAGGAAATTTTGTCATTTGAGGGACTTCTCCCTCAAGAAGGGAGCCAGTTATGGAGAAAGAACCCAGCTCTTAACGAGGGAATTGTTCTTTTTGCCTTTTCCCTTGCCTCTCTTTGAGGAGGGGGCAGGAGAGGATTTCTCTTTCTTGTAGCCGGTGACTTGTTTACCCAGTAAAAGATGCCACCCCTGGCAGAGAGGGAAAGGCCTGGGAATCCAAGCAGAAGAACTTGCTCAGCACATCCAGGAGGAGCCACAGAAGGACACCAAGAGAATGAATGGAGGACATCAAGGTTCTGAAGCCAGGGGTTTGAATTGCTTTGGCCACGTCTGTAGTTGTGTTCTTCTCTACTAGAAAAAATCGGTATCAGAAGGGGACCATCTACATTAGATCTTCAAATGTGGATGTGAGGGCTATCCCAGAGGAGATGCTTTTATCTTTGTCCTTACTGTATTCCTTCAATAAAATGTAAGCTTCTTGAGAGATGTGCCTTTTTTCATCTTTACTTTTGGATACCTAGCACCTAGCAGAGTTCTTAGCACAGGTCAGGTTTTAATGAATGCTTATTGAATGAATGAATGAATGAAATAATGAATGAAGTGCAGGAAGAATATCCAAGTAAGATGTCCTGTGGGTAGCTGACAGCAGCCTCAGGGGACTGGGAAGGAATAACAAACTAAGTCTGACTCAGGCTGGTTTCCCTTGGTAATTTAGGTCCAATATTGGAAGTAAATGAGACTCTCATAATCCATACAAGTTAACAAAAGGGGGTTTACTGAGCCATAGCAGGGAAAGATCTGGGATAAAGTACTGATTCAGTGGAATACAGCTTCCCAGTCTTGTTCATCCTGGTAGTCTATGCTGTGAAGCCTCAGGTGTCAATAAGTAGATTCTTAGTTCATTGTTCATTCAATCAAATCTCAAGAACAGTTTTAATATCTTGAAAGCAGGGATTCCTAACTTGAGGCCTGTGAATCTTTAAAAAAATATTTTGGTAATTTTCAATATAATTTACTTTCTTTGTATTCCTATGTATTTAAAAACATTATTGTTATTATTGTTATTTTTTTTTTGCTAGGCAATGGGGCTAAGTGATTTGCCCAAGGTCACACAGATAATAAGTATCAAGTGTCTGGATTTGAACTCAGGTCCTCCTGACTCCAGGGCTGATGCTCTATCTATTGCGCTACCTAGCTGCCTCAAATCCTTTTTTTGAAGGAAAAACTAGCCTAATTAGCATGGTGAATATTAGGCCATTTGCAACCATTGCTTTGTAGGAGGCTTGTCCAAGCTCAAGATTACTGAAAAGGTGCCTTGTTAATTAATGTGCCCAGTAGTAAAGCAGCTAGGTAGCAAAATGAATAAGAGTACTAAGCCTGGAGTCAGGAAGACTCATCTTCCAGAATTCAAATCTGGTCTCAGATACTTCCCAGCTGTGTGACCCTGGGCAAGTCACTTACCCTCTTTGCCTCACTTTTCTCATTTGGAAAATGATAAATTTGCCAAGAAAACCCCAGAGGCACAAAGAGTCAGACATGGCTGGAACAAATGAATAGCAGCAGCATAAATCCAAGTCCCATTTTTAAACCACCCTCATCCCCTTCTAGATTTGGGCAGAATCAGGATTAAACAGAAGACAATCCAAATGGCCTATTACCATCTTCATATTCCACCCACAAAAGAAAGCTTTGTGTCAGGGAGAACTGGGACTAGGCCAGGAGGAGTGCCACACTCAGTGGTCCTTAATGCGAGAGACTCTACCTTCTGGGCTCTCACACTTCCAGTCTCCTAAGTCTGCTAGGACTCTTCTAAATTTTCCCTGGAGAAAAAAAATAAATAAAAAATAAAAAATAAATTTTCCCTGGAGGATGTGGGAGAAGCAGTTTGATCTCCTCCCATATCAGGAGAAACAGTACACTTTCACATTTGGTAATGTGAGCTTGACATTAGATCTCAAGAGCTTTATGTTTCTTTCTTGAGTACAGGTGATAGATAGAACAACAATCCTGGGTTAGATATTTCCAGCCGTAGAGGAAGCCTTGCAAATTCAAGAAGTTAGAAGCTCCTGAGTCCTCATTTGGGGTTAGCTGCAATTTGGGAACTCCATGTAATTATTATAACACTTCTTGGAGAAGATGACTATCAGTTGGAGGGTGAGCCCAACCTCTGGCCTGGCTCACTACAAAGTATGGACCTGGAGGAGGTTGTTGGGACAGATCAGAGCTGAAGTGAAGGTGAAATGCCAATTAAGCAATTCCACAAAATGCATCATATGTTGATGTTCTAAGAATCAGTATCTTCTGAGAGATTATAATAGTAGTTAGAAGTTACCACTTCATATTTATGATGTTTGTTTTTGTCAATGCACATTTGTGAGTCTTTTATTTTTGCTAGCATTTCTTTTTTGTGGAGGAAATAAATTGCTGCCACATACCTGATTTACATTTTACAAGTTTCTTAAGATAGGGACATAAAGAACCAGAGAATGCAAGAAAAGAGTGTCCTAACCCAGGACTGAAATCAGTGCAAGAAGTCCCTTAGTGGAGAGAAGGGAGCTAAGTGCCTCAGAACAAATGGGCCCAGCAGCAGGTGTTGTCTTACTACACTGATAGTACTAGTACCTCACAATTTGTTTAGAGCATGCTATAGAAGATCATCTATAGTAACTGGTGTGTGTTTGACTTTACTTGAGCAGACATCTAAACTGCTTGCCTTGTGATAGAATGACTTTGAATAGCTTGTCTGAGACTCTAATGAACTACAGGGTCATTAAGGTAAAGACTGGCTTGTTTATCTGGAAACCCCAAATAACCAACCCTAAGTGTTTAATCCCTTTTTGGGAGCCCCACATTTCTTTAGGACTTTTATGATTTTGATTGCTTTTTAAGCTAGCCTGCTTTGTCCTACTGAGGGGTTGAGTTTGGTCCTCCACTTGGAACGTCCTCCATGTTGCAGGGGTCCATTGAGGAAATTTTGGGTGTCTTACTGGTGTAGGAACCCACTGAAAAATTTTTGTCTGGACAGCCAGTTGGAACTTCCTATGTAGTACAGGGAATCCTTGAAAAAATTAGGTGCTGTATGCATTGTAGGTACCCAGAGATAGATAGATAGATAGATAGATAGATAGATAGATAGATAGATAGATAGATAGATAATAGATAGAGAGAGAGAGAGAGAGAGAGATATGATGTGTATATATATATATATATATATATATATATATATATATATATATATATATATATATATATATATATATATATAATATATATATATATACTCTATATACAATGTTACCATATCTAGATCTAGGTCTAAAATGACAGAAAGTAAAAAAACAGGGAGAGAAGACAGAGCCCTACAGTACACCCAGAATACCCTGTTTCCCAGAGCTAAGACCCAGCAAGCAGTCTGTGTCCTAAGCCTGGCATAACAATAATCCTTTGTGTTCAGGATGATATCACCCTCTGGTAAAGTGTATTGCTTGAACCAGCACCATGTGTTCCTTGAGGGATTTAGCTCCCCCTATTTCCCAGGGCCATCTATCATATATTTACAATCCTGTTCCTTGTCACTGACAGGTACTACACTCCTGATCCCTTCACATAACTCTGGTTCTGTGCCCCAAAGGGTGGGCACGACCCCCAAGATTTGAGACAATGATATTCCCACAGGGCCCTTGGGAACAGTAATTCAAGACCTAAAAATGATTATGTCATGGGCCAGCCCAGGATGTATATAAGACCTGCCTTTGATCCAGCATGTTAAGCCATCCTTCTTAGGAGGGGGTCTTCCCTATGCATATGTCATTTTCCCCACTCTGAAATTTATTAAACTGTTTTGTGTCTCTGACTCTCCCGTGTCTAGCCTGCTCTGTTGGTTTGGCTCTGGCCACCTTCAGGTTAGAGATAGGTTCTAGTCTGGTTGACAGGTGGGACATGAATCCAACAAAAGAAACTGAGAAGGGGTTGCCAGCAGTGTGACAAAAACCCATGTTTGAGTGTCTATGAGGTGGTTAACAGTGTCAAATGCTGCAGAGAAGTCAAGAAGTATAAGGGCTGAGAAAAGACCCTCAGATTTGGTAATTAAAAAACACTGGTAATTTTGGAAAGCAGTTTCATTTGAGTGATGAAGTCAGATTTTATGAGGGTGAAAAAGGTATGGAAGGTGAGAAAGTAGTGGTAGCCAGTATTAGACTGTGCTTTCTAGGAGTTTGGCTATGAAAAGGGGAGAGATAGGATGAGAGCTCAAGGAGGTGGTAGGATTAAGTGAGGTATTTTAGGCATGAGGAAGATTCTAGACATATCTATAAGTAGTAGCAAAGGAGACAGTAGGGTTTGTAAATAATAAGAGGAAAAGTTGAAAATTAGGGAAAGAGCATGTGATAGAAGGGGCAAACTCCTGGAATAGACAAGAGAGAAGGGGACCAAGAGCATAGGTTGGAGTGGCAAAGAAAAAGGCCACCTCTGACACTGGAACAAGCAGGAAAGTATAAAAAAAAATAATATGGAGAGGATTTGAAGCAAAGAACTGGGAAGAAGGAGATCTTGATGAATAACTTCATTTTCTTTCTATAAAGTACAAGGTGAGATATTCTGTTCACAAGGGGAGGATAGTGCTTGTATTATCTTGTTAAAGGCTGTATCCTCTCAGTTAGACTGTAAGCTCCTTGGGGGCAGGTACTTTTTCTTTTACTTTTCTGTTTCAAAAATTATTTTGTTTGTACACGCATCACATAGCATAATGTTTTGTTGAATTTCAGTGGAATTGGCTCATTACAGGGAATACCTTGATGGAGTATTTGAATATAGAGTATAAAAATAATGAGGTTCCAAATTCAAACTTAGCCATCTTTTTCATTGATTTTATAAACATTTACTGAGCACTCAGCTTAACTTAGGCCTAAGCAACTTGCAAAGATATTTTTCTACTATTCTAAGTCTCTGCTCTTTCTTTTCCAGCTTCTAAGGATGCCTATTAGAAACTTCTTCTAAAACTCTTCCTCCACTTTTTCCAGTTTATTAGAACTGCACCAAGAGGGTAGCTACTGCCCATGCCACAGCTTCTTGGAGCCATCTGGTAAACTGTCTAGGCAGAAGGGCTAAACCAGGTTGAAGGTAACCGACAGGTCTCAAACTTGTTGGTGAGTTAGGGGGATGTCTACCCCAAACTTGTGAAGATTTTCCCCAGCAGAATGGGCAGGTCAGAATAGTTTGTTCCAATAGCCATAAAGGAGGCTGAAGCAGGCACTGTGGAGCACTTAGACTTTGGTCAGGCCTCAAAGATGTCAAGATCATCCACTGCATCCTGGGTCATTATCAGCCTTCTTGATATTTGTCCTGTCACTGGACTTCAATGACTCAGGAAGAGTGAAGCTGATGACTTTGTGCAACCCTGCCTTACCTAAATGCAATTCATTCACAAGTCGGACATCACCCATGATGTCATTGGTCCTCTTCAAAAACGAAGTATGAACAAGAATGCACCCTCAACCTGGTTTAGGTCATCTGCTGAGTTTTGTCAGGGTGTGGCCACTGCACATGCTATACGGCTTCTTGGAGCCACAGGTCAGAGTCGGTCAAGGCAAACACCAAAGGTGGATAGGTAGCCCTTTGCACCATTGGTGCTAGTCCTCCTGGAACACCCCATATAGCACTTGATTTAAAAGCCCCTCCCACAAAGAGAAGAGATGATGCTATGTATTTCTAAGACTCTAAAATCCTTTGGCAGTCATTTTGGAAAGACTGTTAAAAGTGATAACTCAGAGGGACAGGTAGGTGGCACAGTAGATAGAGCACCGGCCCTGAAGTCATGAGGACCTGAGTTCAAATGCGGCCTCAGACCAAACACTTGACACTTACTAGCTGTGTGATCCTGGGCAAGTCACTTAACCCAATTGCCTAAAAAAAAAAATGCGAGGGCAGCTAGGTGGCACAGTACATAGAGCCTTGGAGTCAGGAGGACCTGAGTTCAAATGTGGCCTCAGACACTTAACACTTACTAGCTGTGTGACCCTGGGCAAGTCACTTAAGCCCAATTGCCTCACCAAAAAGCAAAAAGAAAAAGTGATAACTTGAGAGAAACTGAGAAGACAAAGGGAATGAAGATAACCTCTTTCCTGGAGAGAAGCATTTGAATCCTAATCTCACTAAGAGGATGACAAGAATTCTTGAAAAGAGATTTTAATTGGTATTCTGAAAGAATTAAATGAGATTTTAATTTGCATTCTGAATGGGAATGAAATCTTGTAATAAGAATTGTAAAGTCAGCAAAGGGATAGGGAGGTAACTCTGACTGCCATCATTTTACTCACAGCTAAAACATTGTAAATAGTCACTTGTCTTTGAGTTGTTACTGTGTTAATAAGTTGCATAGCCAGTAATGTTGATGTTTATTTAAGCCTATTTAAGACAAGATTGGGATACTCTCTTCTCTACAGGTGACTGCTCTTTCCTGGTTTTCCTCTTGTCTCCTTTGCTAGATCTTCAACTACATTATAGTCACTAACCGTGGGGTAGCCCCCAAGGGTCTGTCCTGTGCCCTCTTCTCTTTATTCACTTTATTTCATTTGATGATCTCATCTACTCCAACATGTTCAATTATCATTTCTATGCAGAAAATTCTCACATCTGTTCATCACAATCTCACCTCACAGCCCTTTCCCCTGCTCTCCAATCTCACATTACCTACTGCATATTGGACATCTTGAAGTGGATGTCATAGCCATCCTGAACTCAAGTTGTCCAAAACAGAATTCATAATCTTTCTACCGAAGCCATCCCCTCTTCCCAGTTTCCCTATAATTATTGAGGGCACCACTTTCCTTCTGATCACCTATAGTTCATTATCTGGGTGTAATTTTCACCTCTTCACTTGCATTCACCTCATATCAATCAACTTTCCCTTGGAGGCCAGAAGAACTAGACCCTGTTGTAAAGACAACTTGTCTTGTTTTCAGGAACAGGGAGGACCTCTAAGGATTAAACAACAAACAAAAAACACAAACCTGAATGATGTCCTCACTCTCTGAGACAATAAGCCAGCTGGCATGACCACCTTTATGAAGGAAGTCAGTAGGTCTAAGCACCTACTACGTGCCAGACACTGGGCTAAAACCAAGGACACAAAGAAAGGGGAAAGCAGTCCCTGATCTCAAGCTCAGAATGTAGAATCTAACCAGGGAGACAAACTGCAAACAGCTTATGGCCAAGCAAGATGTACATAGAATAAACTGGCAGTAACCTCAGAAAGAGGAACTAGCATTAAGCATGACGTCACAGAACTGTCATTATGGGGATGGGTAGAGACACAATTTGGTGACGTCATACTTTCTGACTATAACTGGGTAATAACATGCTAAGATAACGAACTGAAGGGTGTGGCTTGGGCCGGACAGCCACGGCCATAAAGACCAGAATGCAATGACGAATACTGCACTGATAAGAGCGGTGACAAAAGAAAGGTCGGGGTGAGTATGACGTAAAACAAGTGCGCCAGGACGCCTGGGCAACCCCGCGCGGCGTCTCAGCGTCCACAGATAGCTTTCCCCTCACGCCTTCCTCCTCCGCCCCTCCCTGGCTCGTTCAGCCGTCGCAGCCTGATGGCGCACTCCCGGAAGTGGCGCTCTAGACAGGGTAATAAAGACAGCGGCGGCCGTGGGGGGAAGGTGTTTGGGGTTGTCTCTCTGTATACAGTCTCCTCCTTCCCGGCTCCGGGAGCCGTGCCGAACCTTCCCCAAAAGAAGAGCAGGCCATCATGGGAGGTGGAGATCTGGTGAGTGAAGGGAGCCTGGGCGGGGAAGGGCGGGGGTGGGGGCTTAGTAACCATGGCAACGGAGGAATGCAGGAGGAGAGGGAAGGGCAGTGACCTTGGTTCCGAGGGGACTGAGGCCCAAACCCCGTTGCGAAGAGGGAAGAGAAAGGGAAGGAGGGCAGAGAGGACTGCAGAGAGGGGTCATGAGGCTTTGTTATGGCGCTTATTATTAAGCACTTACGGTGTGCCAGGCCCTTTACTAAGCACTGAGGGTACAGAGAAAGTTAAAAATCAGCCCCGGCCCTCAAGGAGATCACAGTCAAATGGGGGAGACAGCGTGCAAACAGCTACGTACAAACAACAAGCTTTAGACAACATCTTTTGGGGAAGGATAGCAGTGATTTGGTTTTGAGAAGAAAGAAGCCAGGAGGTTAAGGGGGGGGGGTGGGACACCGGGCAGAGAGAGGGGAGACATGAGAGACAGAGATAGACTGAGACCCAGGGAGAGCACCTTTCTCCTTCAAGGCAGGTAAGGTGGCCTCAAGGGAATCTGATGAGGAAATGAGTCCTAAGGCCCAAGCACCATTGCTTTAGACATTGTTATCTCCATCTTCCCATTCTTCTCTGGCAACTCTTACCCTCTTTTCTCCTTTTTGATCCTTCCTTCATATCACTGCCGAATGAATCTTCTCAAGGCACAAATCTCATTTCTAAACTCCATTCAGTGATTCTCTATTGCTGGCCAAATAAAGTACAGACTTCTTAGCTTAGCTTTAAAGGGCTTCTACTATCTGGAGTCCAGTTTTCTACCCCTGAGTTTTATCTTATTTTCCACTGTGCACTCTGCATTCTAGCCAAACCTGACTTCACACTGGTCATCTTATCACAGAACACCCCTCCCCCATATCTCATTTTTTTCTTGACACTGGCAGTCTTTCTCATGATCGTCCCTAAATATTATTTACTGATTGACACTCCTGCATATTTGGAACACCCTTTCTTAAGCCCCCATTGAGAAGAATTTAAATCCTACTCATCATTTAAGACACGCCTTAAATTCTACTTTCTTTATGAAGGTTTGCTTGATCCTTCTAGTTGGAATTGATCTTTCAATTCAGCAAACATTTGTTAAACTACTGTTGTGGGTAGAGCACTATGCTGGGCCCTGAAGAAGAAACAGTTTAGCCAAGATGTGGTTCTTGCCTGCCTGAAGCTTGTAGTCTAGTAGGGAGGGGGAGAATATGTACATAAGTTTGTTAGACAGCTGCAAAACAAAGTGCTCTGGGAGGTCCAAGTATGAGAAAATTACTAAGTTTAGGGAATAGGCTTTATTACAGCATTTGAAAGTTGGTCTTGAAAAGCTGGGTATTAAGAGGTGGCTGGTATCTGTGGAAAGGGAGAGAAAAGAAAGGAAGTATGAGTATTTAGGGGTGGCTGGTACTTGCAGGATAGTAGTCATCAGCATTTCTTAAGTGACTACTGTGTGCTAGGCGTTGTGTTAAGCCCTTTGGATACAAAGAGAGACATAAGAGTATTCCTACAAAGGTCTTTTCTTGACCCTCATAATGATACTTTACACTTTTATATACTCACAGTCTCCTCTTGTTTTGCTTCGCATTTTAATTATTTGTAAATGCCTTTAAATATGCTCCCTATGGGGAAAGATTGTCTTTATCTTTGTAGCTCTCTGGAACCTGTTGCTTATAGTTTACACTTAATAAGTGTTTGTTGAATTGCGTAGGATTTTTAGTTCTCTATCTTAAACCACATTAGTTTTTGATTGCAGCCTTAGAAGGACTCTTCCTGACCTTGAGCTTTGTGCTGCATATCCAAAACTCTCCAGATGAGTTGAAAAGGCAACTCTTATCTTTCTGACTGAGACTGTCATGAGAGAGGTTTTCCCTTGCCTTATTCCTGTCTCCTATTGTATGAAGAGGTGGAGGCCTGAGAGGCCATGCCAACGAGCATTTATTAAATGCTGAGTATGTGTCAGGCAGGCATTGGCTTAGAGCAGGTCATATAAAGAAAGGCAAAACCAAAAACAATCCTGACCCTCCAGGAAATTCCATTGCAGGGGAAACATCCTGCAAATAAAAAACTCGCCTACAGAGTAGAAAAGAAACTTAGAGGGAAAGTCTCAACACCAAGAAAAGCTTCCTGCAGAAGGAAGAGTTTGTGCTGAGTCCTAAAGAAAGCCAGGGATGTCGGGAAATAGAGATGAGGAGGGAGAGGATTCTAGGCTTAGGGGGCAGGAGATGAATTGTCACATGTGAGGAACAGTGAGCAGGCCAATACTGCTGGATTGTAGACTTCATGGAAGGAGTTACTTGTGAGAAGACTGGTAAGACAGAAAGGGGACAGGTTGTGAAGAGCCTTAAATAGCAAACAAAAGACTTTATATTTGATTACTGATGATAATGGGGAGCTAGTAGAAGTTATTAAGAAAGGGTTGGGGACAACATGGCCAGACCTACTTTAGAGTAGTCCAAGATCACTTGGACAGCTATGTGGAAGGTGGCCTAAAGTGGGAAAACACTTGAAGCAGACTTGAGACCAATTAGAAGGCCATTGCAATAGACCAGGACAGAGGTAAGGAGGGCCTGAACTAAGTTGTTGGTGGTTGTGGGAGTGGAAAAAAGGGAGATGTAATAGGATTTGGCAAGTGATTGGATTTGTGGTACTAGAGAAAGTGAATTATTAGGGATAATGCTAAGCTATCAAACCTGAGTGACTAGGAGGATGGTGGTATTCTTAACAGAAATAATGGAAGTTTAGAAAAGGGGAGAGTTTGGGAGAAAAGATAATGAATTCTGTTTTAGACATGTTGAATTTGAGATGCCTATGAGACATCCATTTGAAATGTCTAATTGGAGATTGGGGATTAGAGCACAGAGGAGACACTGAGGCTGGATATGTGAGAATCCTCTACATGGAAGTGATACAGGTCTGATGATTCTCCCTGCTCTCTCCTTTTGACTCCATAGAATCTGAAGAAGAGCTGGCACCCACAGACCCTCCGAAATGTGGAGAAAGTGTGGAAGGCTGAGCAGAAACATGAGGCAGAACGGAAAAAGATTGAGGAGCTACAGCGGGAGCTTCGGGAAGAGAGGGCAAGGGAGGAGATGCAGCGCTACGCAGAGGATGTGGGCGCTATCAAGTGAGTGTTGGAACTTAGCATTTGGTGAGAACTTTGGAACGAGGGTCTTCTGATATGGATCCAATTCCTGATAGTGGGTTACCCAACTTTTATATTATTTTCATCCCAGATTGGTTTCTTTCTTGTGTGTTGCATCTAGCACTTAATGTGGAAGAGTACCTTGCACACAATAGGTGCTTAATATTGAATTTACATATATGCTTCTACTATTGGATAGCATGCACTTTGGGAATGTAGGTTTTTTTTTTAAATGAACAAAAATTCTTTCCCCCTTCAATTAAAAAACAAAAGAAAACCCTTAATAACAAATATGCAGAGTCAAGCAAAATAGATTCCTGAATTGGTCATGTCCAAAAAATAGAAATCTCATTCTGCACTTTTAGTCTGTCACCTCTCTGTCAGGAGGTAGATAGTGTGTTTTATCATTGGTCTTCTGGAATTGTGGTTAGTCACTGTACAGATCAGAGTGCTTGAGTCTTTTTAAGTTACTTGTCTTTACAATGTTGTTGTTATTGTATAATTTGTTCTGGCTCTTCAGGAAAGTCTTCCAAGGTTTCTCTGAAACTCCCTTTTATTATTTCTTAAGAGTATAATGCTATTTGATTACATTCATATACCATAACTTGTTCAGCCATTCCCCAATTCATAAGCACCTCCTTAGTTTCCAGAGCTTAGCCAGCACCAAAAAGCTGCTATAAATATTTTTGTACATGTGAGTCTTTTCTCTCTTTAATCTCTTTGGAGTGTGGACTTGGTATGGTATTCCTCAATTAAAGGATATGTACAGTTTAGTAACTTTTGGAGCACATTTCCAAATTGCTTTCCAGAATGGCTGAACCAGTTTATAGCTTCACCAATAGAATGTAGGTTCATATTAAGGAGCCAGTGTAATGTCATGGAATGGGGAGTGGGCTGGAATTCAGAGACCTGGATTCTAGTAGCATTTCTCCCACTATCAATCCATCAGCGTGCATTAAAAATACTAAAGAGTTTTTGTAATCTTGGATATAGTTTTCTATTGTGTAGAATAAGGATAACATATTATCTACTCTATACCTTATGATGTTGGAAGGATAAAATGAAATGTGAAAAAAACAAAATCACATAATGTATTCTAAAAGTATAAACCATAAATGATTTTCTAGATTTGTTGTGTAGGGGCATCTGTACTGTTATTCTCTTCGATTAGAATAAATAATTAACAGTTCACTATGTATGTGTGGGGTGGCCTCCAGCTGTAACCAGTTACTACAGTAATATCATTCTGGGGTTTTTGTTTTTGTTTTTGGTAAAAATTCCGTTTTCTCCAGATCACAAGGGCACAGAATATGGAGGAACCCCATGCTATTGGCTCTAAGCTTTACCTGGGGCAAGTCTGCAAACTGGTTATATCCTACTTTCCCTCATCTGCTATACAGAAGGCTCTTAATTTTTTATTAACAGCTGGCATTTTTTACTTAATACAGTAAGCATTTATCAAGTGCTTACTATGTGCTAGGCACTGGAGATATAAAGACAAAAATGCAATAGTCACAGCCCTCAAGGAGCTGGGAATTGTGGTCAGGGAAAACGTACCTAGATAAGTAATTTCCGGATTGGGGTGGAGAGGCCATCGGCAAATCCTCTTTTTGGAGCAGGCACTCGGGGTGAATATTGAAGGAAGACAGATGAAGGGAAGGTGGAAGGCAGGAGAGAACATTACAGGTATAGGGAATAAATAGCCTGTGCAAAACCGTAGGCGCAGGTGATAAGAGTATCATGAACCAAGTACAGCATGTGAGCCGGTTTGGTGGGATCCTATAGTGTACATAGGGAAGGGTATCTGAAATCTGTCTGGGAAAAGAGGCTGGGGTGGGATTGTGGAATACTTTAGATGTCACGCTGAGATGTTACATTTAATCCTCGAGGCAATGGGGAGCTACTGGTTCCATGAAAGATATCCTTTGAGATCATAGCTGTACTTGGTCTATCTCCTTCATTTCACAGAAGAGAAAACTGAGTCTCACAGAGGCTTAAAGGACTTGTTCATTGACACAGAGGTAGTAAATATCAGAGGTGTGATTTGAACTCAGGTCTTCTGAATCAGGGCCAGTGCTGCTTCTACTGTTTTGTGGAATTGACTTTTCTGAAATACAGGAAAAACATACTAAATCAAAATGCTGGAGAAAAGCTAGAAACAGAAATATAAATAGGTTGCTGGTAATTTAAAAGTTCTCAATAGACATATTTATATCACAATGTATGGTGAACATTCTTAAACTGTTAACATACAGTAATCCTGGATCTAGAACTCAAAGCCACATTGAAATAGTTCTCAATTTTCTGAACTTTTTTTTTTTTAGGCAATTGGGGTTAAGTGACTTGCCCAGGGTCACACAGCTAGTAAGTGTCAAGTGTTTGGTCTGAGGCTGGATTTGAACTCAGGTCCTCCTGCCCTCAGGGCCAGTGCTCTATCCACTGCGCCACCTAGCTGCTCCTAATTATCTTTCTGAACCCTTTGAAAAAGTTACTAATTTTATCTTTTTATATTCCTCTTTATCATAATATATGTACTAAAACCTTGCAGAAGAAGAAAGCGTTTTTTAAACTACTTACCACACCACTTCTATCTGTATTATTACCAATTCTGAAATAGTGGAGTTTTCCATGTAAATGAGCTTTCTGGAGTTGAGTGTCATGTCAGACCACTTAAAAACCCCAGCTTTCTCCCTACTTACTCTGCCCCCAACGGTCTTTTATTTACATAATGACCTTTGAACATAGAGCCATGAAATATATATACTATTCTTTGTGCTGACCGTGTCTTGTTTGAATCATATGGCTCAGGAAGGCAGACTCCTTGTCCATGAGCTTTGCTCCTGTGGTATTCAATATATAGAATCATGCTTATATGCACACTGAATTTAGTGAAAACTCATTTCAAGGTGCTTGGTCATCATGTTCCCCCATGGTTGCAGTCATCTCTCAATATAAACAGAGTGGTTAACATCATTATCTATTTAGCCCCATCTTTGTTTTGATTATAATTTTATTTTTGGTGGTAGGAAAGTTTTCCCCATAGGATATTGTGTTTTCTTAAAGAAATTGAGTAGAAATCATTTTAAGACCAGATTAAGCTACAGAAAATAGTTGAGGCAATGGTCTATCTTTATTTCCCTTGACTTGACTGCTAAATTTTATTTCCCCACAGCACACCATAAAAAATACTACTCTAGTTGTCTCCTCCAGCATCTTCAATCACTCCTCTGTTTCCTTTCCTGGTGTCTCTTCTTTCTGACCCTTCCTTAAGGATGGATATTCCTTTAAGGCTTTTTGGACATTTACAAAAACTTAGCTGTGCTGCTGTTCCCTCAAACCTAACATGTTTAAAATCAAATTTTGAATCGACCTTCAAGACGCTTCTGATTTAGCTTCTTTGTCAGTGGCATTACCATTCTGACAGTCACCTGGAATCTTGGCTTTTTAAAAATTTATCCCTCTTCTTCAGTCCTCATCTCCATTCAGTTTGCACATTTTGCTTTCCCTTCAAAATATTCTACATAGCTTAAGTGTCACCTCCTCTGTGTACTCTTCCCTGATTACTCTTGGCCCTCACTGAACTCTTTCTCTCCTTTGAATTCCTGAAGCACTTAAATTTTATACACACTGTTTAGTAGTGTGTGTGTGTGTGTGTGTGTGTGTGTGTAGCTTATTAATTGAATCCTGCTCTTGACAGCTGCTACGTGAGTTTATATCTATGAAGGCATTACTGTGACAGTCATAAGACTTGGGTTTGAACTCCAACTTGACCACCTAACTCTGTGATCTGACTTCTCTTGTGTCCATTTCCCTGTGTCTCAAATGGAGATGATGAAACTAGTATTGCTTGTCTTGCCTTCCAGCAAAATCCTACTCTTGTATTGTGAAGGATGCTCAAAGGCTGTATCATTTTGGTAGGTCTTTGAGTATTGGCCATGTGACAAGGCTGTCTGCTTGTCTTCCAGAGATTATCCTAGCCAATTGAAGAAAGCCATCACCAAAAAGTGATTTTTTTTTCTTGTTACTACATCAATTCATACGTCATCTCATAGGATCATAGATTAAGAACTGGGAAGGACCTTAGAGGCTAGTGAGTCCAGTTTCCTCATGTTACAAATGAGGAACCTGAAGCCCAGAGAGGCTAAGGGACTTACTTAGGGTCACACTGTCAGTGAAGTGTTTGAGGCAGGATTTGAACCTAGGTCTTACTGACTCCACTCCCAGTGTTCTACTTATTTTTACCACATCACTAACTTCATCATCTTACTGTCTCCTAGGCTATAGAAAGCCTTTCATATTGAGTACAGAGGCAGTAACTACACACTGATGAAATCCCAAATGTTGATAGAAATATTGTGGTATTAATCTCTCTGTTCCATAAGGTTATTCTGAATAACAAATGATATAATGAATGTGAAGTACTTTGTAAGCATAAAGCATTTGTAGAATTTGCATTAGCTATTAAGTGTATTTATAAATTAGTAGGTATCTAAGCTTTCTTTGACCACATAGAAGGTGACCTATTGAAGGGATGAATTTCTGAGAACTTTTTTGGTAATTATGGAGTTTGTTTTTTTTCCTCTTGGAATCAGAAAAAAAGAAGAAAAACTGGACTGGATGTACCAGGGCCCTGGTGGGATGGTGAACCGTGATGAGTACCTGATGGGACGTCCCATTGACAAATACGTTTTTGAGAAGATAGAAGACAAGGAAGCAGGTTGTTCGTCTGAGACAGGACTTCTTCCAGGCTCAATCTTTGCCCCCTCGGGTGCCAATTCTCTACTTGACATGGCCAGCAAAATCCGGGAGGACCCGCTTTTCATCATTCGGTATTAGCATAAATTTGGGAGGGAGGCTTAATTCACTGAGACTTTAAGAAGTTTTGCTGAACTGAATTCAGTAGACTCTCTTTCTTTGTATTGGTTTCTCCTCAGATTTTTCCTTTTGAATGAATTTTTTCGTATCTAAGATTGGGCATCCAGGTGCTAGGAAAGCCCAAGTAAGGGATTTTTTTGACTTGGCCAGACTTGGAGATACTGGCGAATTTTATAGTCTGACCCAGATTTGTTTTCCTAATTTTAGTCTCTTTGTTGTAAATGTGGCTTCAAGCACAGGCTAAAGGAAAACTGGCAACCTCAGAAGGATCTAGGGCTTGGGGTAAAAGGAGTGGGTGAGCAGAGAAGTTCATCTGCTGAGGTCTTTACTAGGTTACAGGCTGTCCATGGGAACTGGTAGAACTGCTGACCCACTGTGTGTCCCCTGAATGCCAGGACCCTCAGGTTTGTAGACAGGGAGGAATAAAATAGACACTGGGGCTGTTGTGCTACCCATATCTCCATCTGCTGCTAGAGAATGTAGAAAATGTGGCTCTTAGTCGTCATCTGTAGTGATAGTATAGGCTTGATTTCTTTAAGGGGAAATCTGCCTTAAACCCCTTAAAGGTTTCACCACTTATTTTAGCTAAAGGTAAGGAAGAGCAGAACCTTCCAATTCTGCATTAAGGGTCTGTGAGACTGACCAGGTTCTGTGAGGATTTTAAGCATTGAGTTCCTCCTCTAAGGAGCAGGAAAATGAGCTGATTGCCAACAGGGAGGAGGAGAACCAGTGCATTCTAAAGGTAGTGACGTCTGCAGATTTGGGAAGTTCTTGTGTTTTAGCACTGCTGTACAGATTGCTCTGTGGGACTTGGATGGATTTGTGTGTAAGAGCATCCATTTAGAGAATCATTTCATCTCCTTCGAAAAAAAGAAATGAATGTCAGTGATTTTTATTTTTACAATTTGCTTTCAGAAAGAAGGAGGAGGAGAAAAAGAGAGAAGTCTTGAATAATCCGGTGAAAATGAAGAAAATCAAAGAATTGGTAAGTATTGCAAACATGAGGGCCCCAAAACTAGAATTAATTCCCTAGCAATCAACAAACATTTATCAAGGGCCTTCTATGTGCCAGTCATTGTGCAAGGCTTTAGGGATACAAATAATGAAATAATTTCTACTGGATAATAGCATATGTCCTAATGGGAGGGGCAGGGGTGTAACAAGGACATATGTAAGTATAGACAAAAAAAAATAAAGAGAATTCCAATAAATACAAAGTGGTTTGGGGGGCACACTGGATAGAGTGCAGGCTCTGGAGTCAGGAGGACCTGAGTTCATATCTCGCCTCAGACACTTACTAGTTATGTGACCCTGGGCAAGTCACTTAACCCGAATTGCCTCAAAAAAAAAATAAGATCAAAGGTAGTTTGGGAGGATTGGCAATAACAGGAAAGGAGAAGATGGTGCTTGAGCTTTATCTTGAAGGAAGAAAAAGGGGTCCCCTGAAGCTGAGGTAAGGAAACAATGCATTCTGGGCAAGGAGATAGTAGATAGGGAGTGTCATGTGAGGAACAATGAGAAGACCAGTTTGGCTGGGTCACAGAGTAGTTCATAAAAGAATATATTCTATTCTTACTCTGTTAGAAGTAAGATTTATGATCTGGTTCTGGAAGAGACCTCAGGCCTTCCTAGTCCAATGTCCTTAAATTTTTCTGTGTTGTATAGAGTATATATAACTTTCAGTTGACTGTATTTTTAACTTGATAACTTTTGTTTCACCAAAGCTTACAAACCCGAACAAAGTCACAACCAGCCCACCAGAGTACTGTCTCCGAAATGGTTAAGCAAAACCATCATGCTTGATATGTACTGATACTGCCTGCTGTCTTTTATTTTAGTAGTTTGCCATTTGTTAAAAGGAAGCAGGGTGTATCCTTTGACTTTAATAAGTTCGTGTATTTTGTCAGATTTTTTTTTCTGTGAGTGCATTTTTAGTGAAGCATGATTCTTTTATCTACTTTTTGGTTTGAGGGGAGAAAGGCATTGTGTGGCATAATTTCCTTGGTAAAAGAGGGAGCCTGGATTTTACTATGTTTAACAACTGATGGGGCTGTTCAGCAGATCAAAGCCTATTCCTGAATTTTTTTGACAGAACCCGCAACCCTCACCCACTTCAGCCTAGCCTGGAGCAGAATCAGACAGAATTGGGAAGTTGGAAGTTGTAGGGGCTAATCTAACCTCTCCATTGAAGGAATCCCTGCTATCCCATACCTGACAAATAGTTGTCCAGCCTCTGCTGGAAGGTCTCTATGGATGGGATCTTGCCATGTCTTAGATTGCTTGTTCCACTATTGAGTGGCTGCTCTCATTATTAGGGAGTTTTTCTTGATACCCAGCCTAAATTGCTACTTCCACCCATTGTTCTTTGTCCTGCCTTTGGGGACCAACCAAATGGAACAAGTTGGATCTCTCCTGTACTTAAACAGCCTTTATTTTTTGTAGCTGGGCCCCTCTTAATGTAGCCCAAGAACAAATTGCCTTTTTTGGCTGCCACATTACACTGCTGACTCATATTGAGCCTGCAGTCCACTACCTCCCCCCTCCCAGCTTTTTTAGAACAACGATGTCTGTCTGTGTCTCCCTCATCTTACACTTGTGAGGCAGCATTAATAGAGCATAGATCTGGGACTCAGAAAATCGGTTCTATCACCATGACTCTGGGTAAGTCCCAGTCTCCTGCAGCCTCATCTTATGTTTTTGTTTGTTTGTTTATTCTTGAAGGCAGTTGGGGTTAAGTGACTTGCCCAGAGTCTCACAGCTAGTAAGTGTCTGAGGCCCTATTTTAACTCAGGTCCTCCTGATTCCAAGGCTGATACTCTGTCCACTTGCCCCAAGTTTCTTCATTTTATGAAGTGAAGATTGCTACTATTGATTTAGAGGGAAAAATGCACTTTGTAAAAGCACTTTATAAATGTGACCTATTCCACTAAAGTCCTGCTCTGATGCTTCTTTGTGGTGTAGAGGCACTCTAAAGGCTACAACAGTGTAACATGTCCTGCCTCTGCCAGGCCCTGCTAGATTGGGAAGTCTTTGAGGATGAACTTTAAGTCTTTTTCTTTTTTCTGAGATCCGGTTTAGTTGAGTTTCATTACGAGGTTGGCCACAGAAGGATGCATTTTTTCACCATAGTATCATTCAAAGAGTACCTGGTATTTTGCTGTCTTCTTTGCTGGCGAGAACACATTCTGTTGAATAGTAATACTAACTCCTTAACAGAGGTAGCATGTTCTTGGCTTAAAATGAAGACTCCTAGAAGGCATGGAACTTTGATAGTGTTCTATACTGCTGACAATTACAAAGCTATGCAGTTAGTGGAATGTTAGTTTCTTGAAAGTAAGAACATTTTTCATCCTTCTGTCCTAAGAGCCTGGCATGTGCAGAGTGCATAGTAGGTGCTTTATGTGTGTTGTATTTATTCTGTTGAATATTTGGCACCAGTTCCCCTAGAAGGCAGATTGCCTGAGCCTGGTAGGTACCAGAAAAGTATTCCATGGGAGGGAGTCAGGAATAAAAGGTGGAGGGAAATCAACATTGTGCTTTGTGAATTTTCTAGTTGCAAATGAGCCTAGAAAAGAAGGAGAAGAAGAAGAAGAAGGAAAAGAAGAAAAAGCATAAGAAGCACAAGCATCGAAGCTCCAGCAGCGACTGTTCTGCCAGTGAGGAAGATCGTAGCCGTGGAAGGTGCAAGGAGGAGGCGTTCAGTGCCTCATTAGCTCATATGTTGCTGGGTAGCATCCTGGGCCTGGAGAGCTCGGCCTGGTCTTAGTGATCTTTTGGCAAACAAAACATCTCAGTTTCTGACTCAAGGTCTTTTGGCTTCTGATTCTTACAGGCCAGAAATGGGTTTGTCAGGTTCTTTTTTAAAACAGGCTAATTCATCCATTTTGAAAAACATTTTTAATCTGAACTTAGATACCAAATAGCATGGGCATTTTCATATGCTTAGTACAGAAAAAGAGGATTGTACATGAAACTGTATATATGCTGTTTTTCTTTTTAAGTATATGATAAAATCCACCTGTAGCTTTCAAAGCTGTTTTACTTATCTGACCTTATTTCTATTCTTTTCTCTCCATTTATCCACCCATTCTTGCCCACTCTGTCTCTCTCCACCATGAGAATAGCAGCAGGCACCTCTGCCTCTGACTCACTGTCAGCCTCTAGAATAGCAGCACAGGGTTGGGGGGAAAGAGCTCCAGTGGGGGTTGGGGCTGTCAAGCCAGGCCCACGATTTTTCACAGGAAAAACAAGATTGCGTTGATGCATCTTCCCAGCCAAGAAAACCCAAATAGGGAAACACACTCCTAAGTAATAGCGGGAAGGTGGGAAGGCCATGGAAGGGGGTAGGGAGTATGTTTGAGCACATGAGATTAAATTGCTTTCTATATCTCCTCCCTCACACAGTTGTTTGTATCTTTTTTTTGCCTTTAAATTTCTTCTTAGGTCTCAGAAGAAGATGGCAAGTCCTCCTCCTGTTTTGCCCAAAATTTCAGGTTATGGCTTACAGGTAGGTACTTGGGCTCCCCCCCCCCATAGTGATGCCAGTGTGCTGTTTTGTTCAAGTGGCACTGAGCATTTTTTAGCATCTGATAAAAGATAATAAGATGCCTAAACATTCAGGGCAGGTACCCCTGAGGCACACCTGTATCTTCCTCCATGATGTGCTTCTGTCTCTTGGCAGACAGGACAGCACCATGAATTATGTGCTAAATTGTCAAGGTTGTGATTTGGGCTTCCTCATTTCTCATTCCCCTTTGCATCCCTTGCCCTAGGCTGGGTAGGAGAGAGTTGAGAGGGGAAGTAGTTAGGTTGGGTGGATAAGGTTTGGGGGTGGCTTTTTAAGGTAATGTTGTTCCTATATTTGCATGGCTGTACCTACCTTGAAAATAGTTCTGCAAAGCTAAGATGATATGGTCTTGATGTCTACTTGGTGGTCATTCCTTACTTGGTGTCAACTGGACTTTCTTTTAAAGTTCAGGTGTTTGAATAGCTCTTCTGCTTTATCCTCTCTATAGATTAAGGACACTGGCCATGATCGGAGACTACCAGGACCTCTGGCAACTGAAGTCGGGGGAGCACACAGGGTCAAGAATCATTCTAGGTCACGGAGCGCCTCTCGTTCGCCTCCAAAACACACCAGCAGGAAGGGGTCATGGGATGGTGACACACGGGACAAGAGGTCACGGTCCCCTAAACATAGTAGACAGTGAGTATGCCACAATTAACAGGGAAATAATTGTAGGGATTGTACTTTTAATTTCAGTTAGCAGTATATCCGTATGTCTTGGATACTGTTTTTGTTACATTTAGCTTTTCTTCTTGCCCTTGGATGTAAAAATCAGAGGAACCATAAATTTATAGGTACATAGGTACATTCCAGTATATTTTGAATGCTGAGTTAAATGCTGTCTTTGTCATCTCCTGTGTATTCCCTATGGCTTTCTCTTTAAGAGATTGTCCTTCCTTCTTCCTGTCTTTTCTCTCCCTGACTCCTCCCTCCCCCCCCACACACATTGTCTTGCTGTTATGCATTATAGTTCCTTCTCCCAAGGGTTTCAGAGGCATAGAGTTAGTCCCCCTTGCTGAAAAGACTCTTTCCTTGATTACAGGCACAATTCCAAAGTAAACAGGAAAGAAAGAGGCCGAACTAAGAGCCCTTCCCCCAAAAAGGAAGGGTATCAAAGGCGGCATGCTCCAGGTTATACCAGGTAAGTTGGGTGCCTAGTTAGGGTAGCTCCAGAATCTTGGGGTGTGAATCCAGGAATAGTATAGACCAAGCTAGAAAGATGCTGTCTGTCTAATGGGCTTTTTCCCTGGCAAGTCATTTTACTGGTTTTTTCCTTTCTGCTGTCTCCAGTAACTTATGCCCCATAGAGATATCCATGGCCAAACTTTTTTTTCCTTAGAAATTTTCTGTCTTGAGATACTAGCCAAAAGTCAATTAAAATTTGATGCCAGAAAATCAGTCATAAAACATATATCATTGCTTTGTAGAAGAGTTTGGATAACACTTGACGTGTTGTCATGAGGAGGGATGGCTAAAGATACTGATGGGTCCCTAGACCAAAAGAAAAAGTCTCTGCTCTTAAAGGAGAAGTGGGGTCACAGGCTATAGCATAGAAACTTAACTAAATACAAGATAATTTGGGAATGGAAGGAAAACTAATGACTAGAAGGCTCAGGGAAGGCTTATTGTAGGACATACCATGATTGAGTCTTGAAGGAACCTAAGGATTCTCTGAAGCAGAGATAAGGAGGAAGTGCATTATGGGTATGAGGAACAGGAACAGCCTGTACAAAGCAGACAGAGAGGAGCTGTATTTTTATCCATGCTCAACAGCAAATAGGCAATTTTGGCTTCAGTCAGTCCATCAAACATTTATTAAGCCTCTATTATGTGCCAGACACTTAGGTACAAAGAAAAAAAATTAAACAGTTCCTGCCTTCAGTAAACTTGCATTCTTTTTTGTCATCTCCATTGTATACATGTACACATCAGTGTATACAAAAATTGATACAAGATAACTTTTTTTTGGGGGGGGTGTCTGCATATAATTGGAATGCTAATGGAGTTCAGGTAAGGAAGGCCTCATGTAGGAGTGGTGTTTCACCTGAATGTTGAAAGAATATAGGGATTCTAAGAGGCAGAGGTGAGGGGGGAGTACAGCACAGGAATGGGGAACAGTATCTACAAATGTATAAGGATGGGAAATAGGACATGGCCCTAGGAGATGCTTAATTCGGCTGAACCATAGAGTATGTGAAGGGAGATAATGTAGATAATGCTAGAGGGATAGCTTTGAGCCAGGTTGAGATCCTTTCAGTGCCAAACAGAGGAGTTTTAATTTGATACCGGAGGTTAATAGGAAACCCCAGGAAACTGAGTGGTAGAGTGGCTAGTCAGGCGTATACTTTAGGAATATCACTTTGGCAGCTTTGTGGAAGATGAATTAGAGAGGCTGGACGCAGGAGATCAATTGAGCTGTTACAGAGGTCTAGTCAAGAGGGCATGAGGACCAACATTTGGATGAGAGATGCTGTGGAGACTTGACAGCTGAGTGGATGTGGGTGGGGGGAGGGAAAGTATTCTGAACTGTTTGTGATCAGAAAGCAGGTGATCCACATAACCAGAAAGGTTAGGAATGAGTGATGAGTTTGAGGGAAAAGTATTAAGTACCCTACTGAAAAAGTTGGGTTTGAGAAGTTTGTGGAACATTCAGTTTAGGATATCTAGTAGATATTTGGTGATACAGGATTGGAGCTCAGGAGAGAAACTATGTCAGTGATACAGCTCTGAGAATCATCTGCATAGCAATGATAATTGAACCCATGAGAGCTGATGAAGTCACTGTGTAAGAGAGTATAAAGAAGAGGGCCCAGTATGTAACCTAGGGATAGACCTATAGTTGGGAGTGGGGGAGGGTATGGATAAAGATCCATCAGAGGAAACTGAGGAATAGGCAGAAAGAAAAGGCGTAGGGGGTTCATGAAAAAAAAGATCCAGTGTATCATCTAGGTCAGGGGTAGGCAAACTGCAGTGTTGAGGCCACATGTGGCCTTCTAGTTCTTTGGCGCAGCCTTTTGACTGAGTCCACATTTTACAAAACAAATCCTTTTGTTAAGAGGATTTGTTCTATGACGTTTGGATTTGGTCAAAGGGCTGCACTTGGGGACATAGAGGGCCACATGTGGCATTGAGGCCAAAGATTCCCCACCCCTGGACTAGGTGGTCAACAGAGTCACATGCTGTAAAAGGTCAAGAGGGAGGACTGAGAAGAATCCATCAGGTTTGTCAATTAGGAAATCATTGGTAACTTTGGACAGAGTAGTTTCAGTTGAGTTATGAGGTACATAGTGTATGAGGGAGGACTAATATGAAATAATTTGGGAAAGGTAGGCTAGATATAGATTCTGAGGCTTTCAATCCTAAAATAGTACATTTGTATTTCATGCTAGGGACATTGGGGAGCCACTGACATTTCTTGAGCAGGGAAATAACATGTTCAGACTGATGCTTAGGAATATTATTTTGATAGCTGGGTAGAGTCTGAATTGGAGGTGAGGGGGTGGGAGAGTAGGAGAAAGTGGAAACAGGAAGTCCAGTCAGGAGGTTGTTTCAGTAATCTATACACAAGTGATAAGGGCCTGAATAAAGGTGGTAGCTAAAGACATGCAGAAGCAAGAAATGATGTGTAGATTGACAAGGCTTGGTAACTGATTGGATCTGGTAGATGATGGAGAATAGAGACTCAAGGATGACTCTGAAGTATTGAACTTGAATGACTAGAAGAATGATGTATTCTCAGTAGAAAAAGGTAAGTTTGGAGGAGAGGCAGGTTTAGAGGGGAAAACATTTGGATTCAACCTTTTATAACATTGCTCCTTGGGTGTGCATCACTCACGGTCTTGGGAGCTGTGGAGAGTTAGAAATATTCTTGGAAGCCTACCTAAATGTAAGTGGAGCTTACACCATTGCCCTTCGTAAGGTTTCAAGTGAGAGACTCAGGAGGACTTGTCTCTTGGATTTTATTTAACTATTCTGTGGGATGTGTATATAATGACACTGCAGTTATCTGGCATTATTAGAAAATTAGATGGACAGCTACAGTCCTTTCAACTCTAATGATTCTGTGAGTGCATTTTCTCCCTAGACAACTGAAGATTGCTTCAGTTCAGAACTTAAATTTTACTGTAGCAGCCCTGAGTGCTAGGTAGAGCATAGATAAAAGGGATTTGCCTAAGGTGACACAGTAGTTTAAGTGGTAGACCTGAAACTAGAATCCAAGACCACTGACTCCAAGTCTGGTGTTCTTTCCACTGTCCCTTTCCTTGTAGAACTAGACTACTGAGGAGCAGCTAGGTGGCACAGTGGTTAGAGGACCGGCCCTGAAGTCAGGAGGACCTGAGTTCAAATGTGACTTCAGACACATAACACTTACTAGCTGTGTGATCCTGGGCAAGTCACTTAACCCCAATTGCCTGAAAAAAAAAAAAGAACTAGACTATTGAAACTCTGGACTTTTAATAAACAGAGTTTGATCTCTCTGACATGGATTTTCCTCTTTGTTTCCAGAGAACACTGGAAAGAATAGTGTGTGATTTGGAATGTGGAATATCAGGGATAATTCTTGTCATTTTTGTAAGGAATTAAGTTGAAATTCTCAAGCCATACTGGTTTCTAGTTTAGTCCTAGTGTTTTGTCTCCAGATTCCCAACCATTTCCAGATGTGTTTTATGGCTAAAAACAAGATCAACTTTGAAATGTTCATTTATTCAACAAATATTTGAGTGTTTCATATATACAAAGCACCATGCTAGCCCCTCCTTTATGACTGTGAGTATGGGGCCTTCTGTTTTTGTTCTCATGCTCCTTATTCCTTAAATCATTCCCAAGACCTGATTATTGACTTTCCTGAATGACTCTAAAAATAAATAAGTCTTTGATTTGATTCAGGATGGTTGAGGGTGCTATGCTCTCTAGGTCCTCTTCATTGACTTTCTTGGACCAGGGAGTTTGTGAGGGAGAAAAGGGAGTCTCAAACAAGCTAAGTGTGTGGTGATGACTAAGAGAACCTCCTGATCACACTGAACCTGGCTTTCTCTTCCATATATGAGATTGTTCCCAGCTGGGAAAAGGTAGATCTGGCAGGGGTTTATGTTTACAGAAAACTCTCAGCAGAGGAACTGGATCGAAAACGGCAAGAAATGATGGAGAATGCCAAATGGCGGGAGGAAGAGAGGCTGAACACTCTCAAGAGGCATGAAAAGGAAGATGAAAGAGAACGGAAGCTGGAGAAGTTAGACTCTCGGGATGGGAAATTCATCCAGTGAGTAGACTTGTCCCCAGCCATTCCCCTCCCTTCCCCCCAGACTGTTGGCATATTTCTTGTAATTGAGTAGAAGGGTGCCTCGGTGTCATGGCTCTGAAAGAAAGCCTCTGCTCTTGGAACTCAGCTTCCAGACCGCTGTTGGTGTAGGGGTCCAGGCCTCTGACGAGACAGTGGGATGTTTTTTATTTTGTGGTGGGCAGAAGATAGGTTTCTCAATCATTGACATTCTCTGGCCCTCCTTTTAACTTTGGATATTTCATTGTTTAAGTATCTTTTTCTAGTGGGCCTTTGCCTCACTTTCTACAGCAGATATATTTTCTCTTATGGGTACTTATGGAGAAAAAGAAATCTGCTGCTTCCCCCAATTGTATGTAGTTCCAGATGGAGTGCTGAAAGTTATGTGTGGGCTTTTAAAAGTCTGTTTAATTTATAGTAGCCAGAATCTTGCTTCTTCTTACCATGACCCAGCCAGAGAGTTGGTCAATTAGAAAGGATGTTTTTGACTTGTCTCTCTCAACTCCTCCACAGCCAGTTGAAGTTAGAAAGTACGTCCACCTCCTCCTTAGAGGACAGGGTCAAGCGAAACATCTACTCTCTGCAGAGAACTTCAGCTGCTCTGGAAAAGAACTTCATGAAGAGATGAAGCTTGTTCACGAGGCTCTTATGCTGATTATCCTGAGTTTTCTAGGGAAGCTGCTGGCTCCTTAAAGAATCCTCTTTATAAGAGTTAAGATGACTTCCACGGATGTCAGATGGCCACTGCTCAAAGTGATTCTACTCCAGTCATTCCTGAGAACAGCTAATGCCCCTCCTAAAACAGGATGAAGGCCCTGTTGTGTTACAGTACCAGTCAGTTCCTTGGTTGCCTCTTCTGGTGTATATTGCAGAGTTGGGGTTTTTCAGTTTCCCATCTTTGTTTCAGTGCTCCTAGAGATTCCTACTACTTTGTATAGCTATTCATGGTCCTGACAATGGTCCTGTAAATTTACCCTGAACCTGCCTTTTCCATCAGATTCATTCCCTTTCAATACTCAAACTCCCTTTACAAATCACTCGTGGACCTCTTCAGCTGAGAAGTAGCAAATCAAAGGATAGAATCAGTGTTCCTGGCTTCTATTACAAAATGTCTTGAAAGTTAATTTGAGACAGACCAGTGCCAGCTTGGGAAGAACCAGAGAAAGAAAAAGGGAATTCAGGGAGGAAATCCAGAGAGGTGGAGTAACAATACTAAAAAGAACCAAATGAACTTTTAAACTATTTGGTCTTTAAAAATTTACAGCAGTATATTGTGTATATGTACAAATGTATAATTTTTAATAGTTCTTTTAAAAGTTATTTTTGTCTAAACATCCCATTTGAGAAGTGATTTTTTGATATATTATTACCATATCAAACTAGATACCAAATAATCCTGTCACACAGGGCAGCTTTCTTTTCTGTGTAGCTGGGATGGTTTTAACCACTTCCCACAGCGCCTTAACCCATTTACAGATGGATTACTTTATGTCTCTGAATGTAAAGTTTATGGTTCCAGAGGTACAACCAAACTGCCAACAGACCTCCTGGCTTTTAAAAGAAAATAAAATAGAAATTCTGTTTATTTTCTTGTGCTCCTTTTATGGTGGTGTTAGTACATTGTTGGGGTTTAAAAGTTGCTGTCACCTAAAAGAAAACACAGTGAAACGTTAAGGTAATGAATGAGGTACTCCTCTACCTCCTTTTCCCTCCATCTTTTTGACCAGTGCATTTCAAATGTCAGTAAAGGATCATAGAGTTAGATCTGAAAATGGACCTTTAAATGTCATCTAGTCTAACCTTTCTCATTGTACAGATGAGGCCCATAGTGGTGGTAAGTGGCAAAAGTGGACACTGAAGCCTTGACCCTCAGACTCCACATTTAGCACTATGTCAGGGTCTCTAGTTTTTCCAAGGCATTTTTCATCCAAAGCAGGAATATTTCTTCATTTTTATCCTGATGCTGAATTAAATTCACTTTATTTATACAATGGCTACAACGATCATCTAACAGAGAAAATGAACTAGGATGTGTTTTTCATTTGTATTTGACCACAGCTATAGAATTTTAATTTCATCTGTCTTAATGCCCTACGTTTAGGGATAGAATTTCACTGTCCTCTCATGCTAGGGACTTTAAGGGTCTTTATTATATATTTACACACCCTGTCTCAACCAACAACTCTTAGTGTGGCTTTTATAGCTTGAAAAACTGCAAAAAGACTTTGGGACACCGTATTTTAATCTGTAGAGTTTAAGGGGATGTGGGGCTCAGGGGCACAGACTGGGTCAGTTCTCAGCAGCCTAGGTACCTTGGTTTTGAAATACGTAGCAACACTTCTAACCTAGCTGATTCATCAGTTATGTAGGTTCAATAAGGAGATTCTTCCTTTGGGATGAATACGTCACAACCCGTGTGCAGTTTAGTTAGGGACTTGATGTAGCCAACCTGAGAATGAGACGACTTAAAATCCATGCGGCTGAAGGTCCCTCAACTCACTGCTTTAGCGGGAGATGAAAGGGAGGCCAGGTGGGTGGATGCTGGACCCATTCATAAAACCCAGAGTTCCCGGTCTTCTCTTCTCATTGGCCGTGGGGAAAGGGGGCGTGTCCCTCGGGTGGAGCACGCCCTACGTCCAGGGGAGTGGGACAATCCATGCTTGGATAGAGCAGGGGGAGATTCCCCTCAGTTTTCCAATTTCCCTCTCCTCTCTACTGCTTTCCTCCCTCGGGGTGAGGATGGTACGTCCCACCTTCTTCGCATTTCATCCCCCACCTCCCCTCCCGGAGCCGCGGCGATTGCCGCCATCTTGGCGCGTCAAACTGAGGGAAGGAGCCAAAGCGGGGCTTCGGGGGGCCGGGGCGGGGGAGCCCCCCCTGGCGGCGGCTAGCTACACCAACCCATTCCGCCCCCCCCTCCCCGCTCGGGCGCGGGTCTTCTGGACCCGCGGAGGCCCAGCTGGCTCGGGCCGGGTGCTGTCAAGCAGTTGGCGGGGAGGGGCCGGCAGAGCGGCCACCGCCTCCCTAGGACGGGCGGTACCACTGGGGCGGGGGCGGGCGACTCCCTCACCTGGGGGCGGGGTAGGTAGCGGGACGTCCCGGCGCCTGGGGCGGAGGGGAGGGAGGAGCGTGGGGCGGACGGTACCACGGGGGCGGGGGCGGGGGGAGGTAACGGGCTGGGCGGTACCATGCGGCGGTGAAGGCGCCGCCGCCGCCGGGGCTGGGGATCGGGCCAGGCAAAGAAGCGTCGGGCCGCGGGCTCGGGAGCCGTCTCCGTCGCCGCCGCCGCCGCCGCCGTCCGGGCATGTCGTCTAACTGCACCAGCACCACGGCGGTGGCGGTGGCGCCGCTCAGCGCCAGCAAGACTAAGACGAAGAAGAAGCATTTCGTGTGCCAGAAAGTGAAGCTGTTTCGGGCGAGCGAGCCGATCCTGAGCGTCCTGATGTGGGGGGCCAACCACACGGTAACCACCCTCCCGCGGGCCCCATGCACCCCCACGCGCCGCCGCCGTCCGCGTGTGTCACCCTGCGTGCCCCGGTGCCCCACGCCCCTTGCATGCCTGCTGCCTTCCCTGCTGCCTGCAGGCTGCGCCCACCCTCCCTGGGGTTCATGCACCAGCCCCAGCGGCCCGGCCCCTCCATCGATGCACGCACCCCACCCTTCGCATGATGCCTCCGACGTGTGCGTCTGCCAGCCCCCCTGGATGCTGCTCCCCCAGGCCTGGTATCTCCCGGGTAATTCCTTCCCATTCCCCTTTCCCCCTGTTTCTTGCATCTTAGACCCCCAAAAAAAAAACCACACACAATGATTGACATGTTGTTCTGGACCCAACAGGACCCCCACCCCCAACCCCCCTAGACTGGAGCTCTCTTGGAAGGCCAGGGTGAAGATGTAGCTCTCGATCTCTTTTGCCTTTCTCTTTTCTGTGTATCTAAGCTGCTTGCGTTCTTTTCTCCCATCTCAGCTTGTTGGTCCGTCTGGGCAGGATTTGAAAGGTGGGAAATGGAGGTCGGGGAAAGAAGAGTGGGGAGTGGGGTTGGCCCGAGTCTTCTGCTCTGATGCTATGACTTCACAAAGTTTCCCATCACCCTTGGCCTTCTTGACCACCTCTGCAGAAATTCTGATTTTTCTCATGTCTCTTTCTTCCTCCAAGCAAGATGGTAGTTACGTTGGGTAAAGAAGTCTGTATATACATACTATTAGATATGATCTTTATTCTCTCCTTCCTTGCCAGTGGTTCTGTAGGAAAGAGTAGTAGAGAGAGAAGGAATGTAACTGACTTTAGGGTAAGTCCTGATTTTGATGAGGATAAGAAGGAATGTGTCTTTTTTGTGCCTTTTCACCAAGTGTTATGTGAAAGAGCTTTACATTTTAAAGTTTACCTACACCATGATCTAGGGTCCCAACCTCAGGTGGGAGAGGATATGGTCAGGGAGAATAAGGGCTTTGTGGGAAAACACCAAGCAGAATATTATCCCATTTCTGAGTTTCTTTGTCCATCACTTCCTTTACCAGGACTTACTTATCAGCAATAGATGTCTAGGAATGGGATGGCAACAGGGTGCTGAAGCCAGCTAAACTATCCATCTATGGGACCCTTCAGTTCAAAAACTGATTATTTAAGGCCCTTTCTTTTTCCTCTTGCTTTCATTTCATTTAAATACCCATTAGGCTATCTTGCCAGATGATAGAACAGGGACATTAAAGGAGCCAATCCTTTTCTTCACTACCTTTTGGCATCTATAAATTTCAGTTTTCTAGGCCACCTCTGCCTCATTGCCATTGGAAACCACCACGATCAGGTACCTAGATGTTAACTGAGAAGTGCAAGAGTGAGTGTAGGGCCCGGCAGGATTTTTTCACCTTTCTCTACAGGAGAAGACTGGCTGGTTGATTGATAGACTCCAGTCTGATCCAGGGTCTTTGATCTTATTGAGGTTAGAAAAAAAGTATGCAATGATAGTGTGCATGGTTTTAACACATTGGTTTGAAAAGTTATTGTTTCACAGTGGTTGTCCAAATAGGTTTGGGGAACTGCAAGCTCATAACTGCCAGACCTTTAAGAGCTTCTTTGGGCCAAATATCCTATTGATGTGTAATTCTGAACTTGGAATGGCGATGAAATTTTGATCACCTTGCTTTTTCAGGGGTCAACCAGGGATAGTGGTAGGATCAGGTCCTGAAGTATAGATCTCCATCTGGACTCCTAGTTTGTCTTTCTTCCATAATATTCTTAGACAGCTTGATCCTAGTAAGCAGCTGCTTCTTTGTGTAGAAAACTGGAAGATTTTAGAATATAGAAAGTCAAAGATCACATAATCTGTTCCCTCATTTTATTGGGAACGAAACTAAGTCTCAGGTGAAGTAACTTTTCTAGGGTCACAAGAAAGAGTAAGGGGGTCCCAATGCTGCCAGAACCAGTACGTCTAGTGAATATGCTTATTTTGGCGTATTTCATTGTCTTACGTCAGGGAATTGGAATACACTCATTTGGTCAAGGGCAAATGGAAATTGTCTTGATGTTGCTGAAGAAGCTTGGTAAGTTATTTTTACTTATTGGCAGGAAGTTTTACAAGTTGTGCTTGTAAATCCACATAGAATCTGAGGAAGCTTCAGAATGACAGAAAAGTAGGTTCCAGTAACTCCTATTAACATGCCATTAGGAAAGGGTACTCATCTCCTTTGTTAATTTCTATATATTCCTGTCTTCTGGTTCTTGGGAGTTTGAGTGAAGGCCCATGTTTTTAGGTATAATTTAGATCTCTGGGGAGCCTCACTGGCTCCATGCCTTCAGCCAGGAGGGATGAATCTTCCCATGCTGTTTAATTGCATCTCAGATTATATGGAGATTGAGGATTTCCGTGTTCTTAACTATGAAATGGGGAGAATATTTCTCCCCAGATGATATTGGTAGAGTACTGTAGAATCTCCAGGAGACTGGCACTAAATTTTACTTGGTGGGTGGGTGTCCTTCCTTAGAACACAATTTCTTTAAAAAGAAGAATGGCTCCTTCCTGAATAAGAGCTCTTTAGCTTCCTAAATGACAAAGATTTTAGCAAAGCATCTGGCAGGGTGTCTTGTGTAATTGTTGTCTACAAGATGGAATGCAATGATATAGAAACTAGTACATTTAGGTGAATTCTGAGCTAGGTGAATGGTTGGGCCCAAAGGAGAGTCATTAATAGTTCAGAGTTTAGCTTGGAAGGAAGTCTGGTAGAAATCCCCAAGGAGCTTTCTCTACTGTGGCCCTATGCTGTTAGCATGCCATCTCTGCCTTTATCAGTCATTAGTAAAAATGTTAATGAAATTTGCAAATACCACAGAGCTAGGAGGGAAATCAAATGCAGAGGACAGAATTAGAATTCAAAAAGGTGTAGAATATCAGGCCACATGTAATAAAATGACCTCTAGTAGGGGGTAAATAGAAAGTCATACACTTGGGTTCAAAAGACTAGTTTGTAAACATAAGATGGAGGCCTAGATAGCAGGACATATATATAAAAATATTTTGGACTTTTAGTAGCATGCAAAGTGCAATATGAATCCACAGTGGGATATGGTAGCCAAGAAAGTAAATGTGGTCT